ACATTTAAAGTAGCGGTTTTATTCTTTTAATTAGTACTTGGGCTTCCTCATAACCAGTTTCTATTGACTGCTTTCTTCCAGCGTACAGAACATGTTTCCCTGGTGATTTTGTTTTTATATGCTGTGGGGATGTTTTGTTTGTTCTGTAACAAATAAAGCTTGCCTGAAGATCAGAGTACAGAGCTAAGCCACTAGAGGCCAGGGAGTAGTGGCACACAGTTTTAATTCCAGTACTCGGGAGACAGAGGCACTGTTAGTTCAATGCCACCCTGGGCTACACAAAAATTGAATCTGTCACTGGGCTGTGGTGGCGCACGCCTTTAATTCTAGCACTCGGGACACAGAAGCAGGCGGATCTCTGTGAGTTAAAGGCTAACCTGCTCTACATAACCAGGATAGCCAGGGGTACAAAATGAGGTCCTGTCTCAAAACAAACAAAAATATGCCTCTCCTTCTCATTAGATTAATTATACATTAAAGTGTTGCTGTACTATGCTGGGTAGTGGTGGCACAAACCTTTAATCCCAGCACTGAAGAGGCGGTGCATGGGAGCTTGCCTGCCTCCTATGAGGAACTTCCACTTTTCAGAGAAAACCCGTTGAAACCTCCGCGTCTGGCTCGGGGGGCCGATGCACGGGTGCATCTGTGGGTGACGGTATCTCTGGGCAGCTCAGGGTACACCCCGAGCTCTAGAAGAGCTCTGCCTTCTGGGGAGGTGCAGCGTCTGTTCTCTGAGAGGGCGGAGTAGCTCTGAGGCTTTAGTCCTCAAGAGCGGAGTCTTCACGAGCTGGCTCCCGCTTTGGTCTCTCTCTCCCGCTAGGCTTGCTCTTTTGAGCGCAGTGTTTGCTCATGGCGACTGAGAGCCAGTGAACTCCACTGTCTTATCTCATTCTCACACTGGGGACCTCTGTGGGCTCCTCACATGCTCTGGCCCTTTGAACCTGGCTTCTATTGTTGCCCTAAAGGTGAGAGGCAGTTACTCCAAGCAGAGACTGGATCAGATGGGAACAGGGCCCATGGTCAATGCAAGCAAAGGCATCCTCACCACCACCCCCCCTTTTCCTCCAGTGCTGAGCTGGACAAGGCCACTTCTGACTGCTGGTTTGCCTCTTGTTTCTCAGGAAGGCCATGAGCTTTGTAGTTCAGGCGTTAGGTTGCCAGAGGAACTTTATCTAGTGTCTGCTATCCCAATGAGGTGCGCTTAGGCAAACGCTTTAACTGACCCTTCCTCCAATGTCTGTGAGCTGCTGACATCCGAGTTTATGAAGAGAATGGCAGCCAGGCTGACAGGCAGAACCCTAGTTAGTCTGCACCTCTTCAATAGTAATATGACTTGGGTAAGTTGAGTTTGTGTGCTCCGTTTCCAGGTGCAATGTGGAAGGCACCCAGAACAGACCCCTACCCTCACCCCAGGGGCCTGTAAGGGGCTCTGTGACTGTTTCATTCCTTTTCTAGATCCTTCTGAGATGTTTGTAGTTAACTCACCCCCATCCCCATCCCCAACCCTATGGGGGGGGGGTAGAGAACGCTGGACATTACTCAATCCAAAGAGAGGGGAGAGGCCCCCAGTCCTCTGGCCACTAACTTATTCCATAGTCATGCTGACTTAGCCTGATTACTGGTGTTCTTGTTACTCGGGGTTTGGGATCTACAGGAAATTCAGATAAAGAACCTCTTACAAAAAATTAACTCTGTGTAGCAGCTGGAGAGACGGTTCATTAGTTAAGAATGCTGGCGGCTGTTTCCATACTCGATTCCCATCATCCAAGCGATGGCTCACAACCAGCTCTAACTCCCGTCCCATGGGATCCAACTCTTCTGGCCTCTGCGAGCACCAGGCACACAGGTGGTACTGAGAGATACACACAGACAAGACACCCGTGTACATAAAATAAGTCAATAATGATGAAATAAAAGGAAAGTTCATCCCATTGGATGATAGTACACTTCAAAAGATAGTTAAATAAAATGATCTGGCCCTGGTGAATGAAAGGTCATCCTGACTGTTGGCTCTGCAGCCAGGGGACCGGTGACAGGGGACTGGGTTCTCCAGTGTTCTCAGGAGTCCCAGTGCTTTTGCTGTTTTCAGCTGCCTTTATCTCTTCATCCACTTCACTGGCTTAAGAAGGAATCTCAGGCCAACTTCCACATTCGCTTTCCCTGGGGAAGACTAGGAAACCGGCTATAATCGCTCCCATCAGAACCTGGCAGTTCCCCAACTCCCCTTTTTACCCTGGATGTGAGCAAGCGGAGACTGCATCTTTGAAGCTGTCAGTTCCCCTCTGCCCCAAGTGAGTGACCTTGGCACCAGGGGGCACAGTGGGCACCCCCATACCATGAGGCTTATGAAGGCCGATTTAGAACCAGTGCTTTGCTGGGCAGTGGTGGCACAGGCCTTTAATCCTGGCACATGGAAGGTAGAGACAGGCGAATCTCTGTAAGTTTGAGGCCAGCCTGGTCTACAAAGCAAATTCCAGGACAGCTAGGACTGTTGCACAGAGAAACCCTGTCTCAAAAAAAAAAAATAAAAAGAAAAGAACCAGTGCTTTTTTGTTGTTGTCGTTTTGTTTTGTTTTTCAAGACTAGGGATATACTCCCTAGTGCTTGCTAAAGGGTAAAGATTTAGAGGAGCTGACCCCTGACTGCAGGCCTGAGAAGGAGCCTGGCTCAGATGACAGCCACCATGCCATGAGCAGGAGCCCCCTGGGAGACTGAGGTGTCGACTGAGTAGACAAACACCTGCCTCTTTAACAGAATCTGCACTTCCGAGCCAGCACTAGGCTAAGCTGCACACACAATCTCTCAACACAAAATTTCCTTAAAGTAAGCGCTGGTCACTTTGTCCAGATCAGTGTGAAGCTCAGAGCTGTAGATGGAAGTTTCTATCCCACCCAGTCCTGCAGCCCTTCAGTCTCAAAGAAACACACAGAGGCTCATATTAACTACAAACTGTTCAGCCTATTGCTCAGGCTTATTGATAATTTGCTCTTGCAACTTAAATTAACCCATAATTCTTATCTATGATTAGCCACGTGGCTTGGTACCTTTTCTCGTCTTGCGTCCTCTGCATCTGGCTTGTGACTGCGTCTCTGCCTTTCCTCTTCCCAGAATTCTCCAAGTCCAGTTGCACCGCCTATCTGTCCTGCCTGGCTACTGGCCAATCAGCGTTTTATTAAACCAACACGAACGACAAGTCTTTACAGTGTACAAGAGCATTATCCCACAGCACAGAGAGGTGAGCTGACTGGCCTTAGCTGCCACAGGCTGTGTGATGAAGCTGGGGCTGTGGGGTCCCACACTTCCACCTGCTCTGCCTTCTGGACATTTGGGCAAAGGTTGTCTGAGCCAGGGTAAGGGGTAGTAAGATTGCACAAGTCATAACTTCCAAATTATATGTGTGTCTTGGATTTGTCTAGATCATTCTCTAAGAAACCAGACAAAGTAGGCATAGCTGAGGCAGGTTCTTCTTTGAAATTTCATTTTTCACAGGTTGTGGTGCATTCTGTTAATCCCAGCACTTGGGAGGAAGAGGCAGGAGGATCTCTGTGAGTTCAAGGCCAGTTTGATCTACAGAGAGAGTTCCAGAACAGCCAAGGCTACACAGAGAAACACTGTCTTGAAAAAAAAAAGTAGAATTTTGTTTTTTGGTTTTTTATTTACTTTCTGAGTAGAATTTATTTTACTTTATGAGTGTTTTGTTTACATGTACATCTGTATAGCACTTGCATGCCTGGTCCCAGCGGAAGTCAGAAGACGGCGCCAGATTCCCTAGAACTGGAGTGACAGATGGTTGTGAGCCACCAGGCTTGTGCTGGGAACTGAATCTGGGTCCTTTACAAAATCAGCGGGTGAACCACTAAGCCATCTCTATAGCTCCAGATTTTTCTCCTAAGAGGCAGATTTAAGGGCAAGGCTGTGGCCACCAACATGATGGTGTCTCCCCGCCCCCCAGGCAGACAATTGTGGCAGTAACTTTGAGGAGGTGGCATCAGGGCCAGAGACGTACAATCTATAAGATAGGGAGTAAGGCACCAGCAAGCCTTTGGGCTGGGAGTGGAACCTTCTTGAGTCTCAAATTATATAGTAGTTTTTTTTCCTCCCATACCCCTAAAAACAGAGGTCCTACCTGGAGGTCCAGCCTCTGGGCAGACTCAGCCCATGGAACTGTCCAGGCTGGTCTTGTACTTAGAATGCTCCTGGTTCAGCTTCCTGAGTGGCTTATGGAGGAGCTGGCCTGTGAGGCCAGGCCTTGCTGGAGACTGTTTTGTATGCACTCCACACCTCTAAAGACCCTTTTCCCTTCTTTGCTAAACATAGTTCCCTGTTATTTCAACTCCTGCCTTAACTTGTTTGTTTTTGTGGCAGGGTCTGGTGTAACCCAAGATGGCCTCAAACTTGCTACGTAGTTGAGGATGACCTTGAACTCCTGATTCTTCTGCTCTATCTCCTCAGATCTGGAAACACACACGTGGGCCACCATGTCTAGTTTTATGGGGTGTTGGAGAGGAACCCAGCATTTCATCCTATGCTAGGTAAAAATCTTCGAGAGTACCGAAGATGATCCTGGCTAAGTAAGTAAAGGCTACTCTCTGAACCACCCCCACCCCTGGCAGTCTCCAGATCTACTTCATGCCTTAGCCCTGGCCTCCCCTAACTCCAGAGCTCGTCAGTGCAGCCCCCTTTCCTAGGCGCTCTTCTCAGCAATTGTATTCAGGGAGCCTTCCCAGCTACTGGAAACTGAGATCCCACCGGGGAGAGAAGACACAGTGTTGGATGTGTAAATAGGCAATATTTGTTCGGGATTGCTCTTTCTGAACTTCGGGTATTTATCTATTTATTCATTTATTTATTTTGGTGCTGGGGATGGAGCCCAGGACTTAATGCATGCAAGGCAAGATCACTACCAATGGAGACACATCATCCCGATCACCTTCTGGTTCTCTTTTATTCTTACTTTTAAATCATTCCTTTTGAGTTCTCAGGGCGTTAAAGGGAGGAGATACAAAGTGACCGGTGGCGCGTAGAGAGGGGAAAATTGGCATGCCGCTTCCTCCTTTAGGCACTGTGCAGACTTGGGGCAGAAATGAGCAAGGTGCTCGGAGGCAGGAAGGTGTGGTCTACACTGAGACCAAGGCCACCTAGCCCTCCAGGTTACCTACACCCTGCCCGCCCCACTGAGCTCTTAGTTCCCCCTCCTTTCCGTCCTGCTGATCCAGCCAGCCAGGCTTTCTCCTCTATTCTAGCCTCCTCTCCCCCTTGAATCCAGTCCTGGTTTCCCCGCTGCCAGCTCCTTCTTCTGCCTGCTGGGCTCGCTCCCCGCCTCCGCCCCCGCCTCTCCGAGAGTCCCGGCGGTCCGCTCGGCTCCCCGGCTCCTCTCTCGCACCCCCGCCTCGCAAGCCACCCGCGGCTCCATTCGCCCAGTCCGGCCGCTCCAGTCCGGATCTCGCTGCCACCCGACCCGGGTGCGAGTTTCAGCAGCTGGGAAGGAGGCGGCAACGGCTGGCCCCGGCTCCCCTCGGCCGCCTCGTCAGCCCGAGGTTGGCGGGGGAGAGAGCGGCCCAGCAGCCCCGGGAGCCCCTCCGAGGACAATGCACCCGGCGCTGGGCCACCCTCGCGCGCTCTCGTCCGCGCCCGCCTCCTTCCCGCTGCCCCCCGCCGCCGCCCGGCTGCAGCCCCTCTTCCTCCGGGGGGGCTCCTCCCGCGGCCGGAGAGGCTCGGGAGACAGCAGCACCAGCACCAGCACCAGCCGCGGTGGGGGCGGCGGCAGACGCGGCGGGGGCGGCGGCTCCCCAAGCAGCAGCACAGGCGCGGAGCGAGAGGACGACGACGAGAGCATTAGCATCAGCAAGCCACTGGTGCCCGCCGCCGCCGCCGCGCTCCCGGGGCCCCCGGCTCAGGGGGGCGCCCCGGTGTCCGCCACCGCGCCCGCCACCGCCTCCTCCACTTCCACTCCCACCTCTTCCTGCAGCATGACCGCCGTGGACTTTGGCGCGGGCCCCGCAACCGGGGCCGTCGGGGGCCCCGGGAGCCGCTCGGCGGCGGGCGCAGGCGGCACCGGGACGGGCGGCGGCGCCTCCTGCTGCTCCTGCTGCTGTTGCTGCTGCGGCCGCCCCTCCCGGCCCGGCCGCAGGGGTCGGCGCCACGGTTGCTCGCCGAGCCCGGGATGCCGCTGGGGCTACCAGGCGCTGTCTGTGGTGCTGCTGCTGGCTCAGGGTGGTCTGCTGGACCTGTACCTCATCGCCGTCACCGACCTGTACTGGTGCTCTTGGATCGCCACTGACCTGGTGGTGGTGGTGGGCTGGGCCATCTTCTTCGCCAAGAACAGTCGGGGCCGTCGGGGCGGTCCAGCAAGCAGCGCGCACAACCACCATCAGCTCCACCACCACTCGGCGCCGCCTCTGCACCTACCGACTGCGGCGTCCGCGGGGGCCGGGGCTAAGGCTCGCGGGGGCCGAGGAGGCTCGGGGGCCGGGCCAGGGCCGGCCGGGGCGGTGGGCGAGTTCGCCTTTGCTTACCTGGCCTGGCTCATCTACTCCATCGCCTTCACTCCCAAGGTTGTGCTCATCCTGGGAACGTCTATCCTGGACCTCATTGAGCTGCGAGCGCCCTTTGGCACCACGGGCTTCCGCCTCACCATGGCTCTGTCCGTGCCGCTGCTCTACAGCCTGGTGCGTGCCATCAGCGAGGCGGGCGCGCCCCCGGGCTCGGCGGGTCCCTTGCTCCTGCAGCCACAGCAGCATCGCGCTGCGGGCTGCTTCCTGGGCACGTGTCTGGACCTGCTGGACAGCTTCACGCTGGTGGAGCTGATGCTGGACGGCCGTGTGCCGCTTCCCGCGCACCTGCGCTACCTGCTCATCGCCGTCTACTTCCTCACGCTTGCCTCCCCAGTGCTCTGGCTGTACGAGCTGAACACCACCGCAGCAGCTCCGTCCTGGGGCCAGGCTTCCGGGCCTGGAAGCTGCAGCCGCCTTTTGCGCTTGCTGGGCGGCTGCCTGGTGGACGTGCCCTTGCTGGCGCTGCGCAGCCTCTTGGTCGTGAGCTACCAACAGCCGCTGTCCATCTTCATGCTCAAAAACCTCTTTTTCCTTGGCTGCCGTGGCCTGGAGGCCTTGGAGGGCTGCTGGGACCGAGGGAGTTGGGTTTCCCCAAGTCGGGCCAGAAGCAGCTATGGTGCTCCTCCCTCTGCCCCCCCACCACCTCCACCACCGCCACCTCAGGGAGGGTCCCAGCGGGGCCACTTGGAAAATGAAGGGGGTCCTCATGGCTATGTCAACACTCTAGCTGTGGCCTCTCAGAACTGAAAAAGGTGAAGGGCAGAGCCTCTGTTCTTGGCTTGAGAGTTTCCGGCCTCCTTGGCTGTGTTTAGAAAAGGTTGATAAGGCTGATGGCCAGCGAATTCTTCTGCACCCTATGGGTGGAGACTACTTGGAGGGAGACCAGCAATATATTGTGAGGGAGGAGGGTCCATGTTCACCATGGTTCTTCTCCAAAGTCTTGCGTGTTCTGACATACAAGGGACTGGATGAATGTGCCACCTGCTCTTCTTGCCTTCGTTCTGTGGGGGAGAGAGGAGGAAGGGGGTGTTCAGGCAGGGATGGTAGGCTTCGGTAGATGAAGTGTGCGTGTGCGTGCATGCATGTGTGTGCGTGTGTGTGTCTGTGTGTGTGCATCCGTGCGTGTGTGTGCATGTGTGTGTGCGTGTGCATGTGTGTGTGGTGTTTTTCTGGGTGTCTGTCCCCTGCCCCTTGCAGTGGGAAGGCGATCTAGGGAGGCCTTGCTGCCCCCCCACATGCCACCCCCATCCTTTCCTGCCTGAATTTATGACCAGGATGCCCAGGAGTTGTTCGGTTGCCACACTCCAAGGGAGAAGCTCACCCATGGTCGTCCTCACTCCTGCTCCCCTGTTCTCAGCTTGGGGAGGAGAGGGTCTCTGCTGTGAGGACCCAGCGACACCCTTTCTTGGATGAGTGTGTATTTCTACCTCTGTGCTTTCGACTTTCATCCCATCACACATTGATGCTGCTCACGAAAACAAAACAAAACCCACTCAGAAGTTGCATTCAACATGGACACTGGATCCCTTTGGGGTTTGGTACCAGATATTACAGGGTCTGTGGAGTATCAGCCATTGGCTCGCTCTCTTTCGATTCCTCCTTCAGCACCAGAATTCTTATCCTGCCTCTGTTGGTACTGGCTGGGTTGGAACTGGGTTCAAAGCGCCTGCAAAGGTGTGTGAGGTCTGGCCTCTTAGGGACCCTCCGGGACGCCACCTGCTCTTTTGGAGAGCTCGGCATAGAGCAGAAAGGGCGGTGACCTTTCTTCTCTCCTCTGCTCAGGTCTCCTCAGGGAGAAGGCTTGCTGCGGGACCCTCCTGGCCCAGCCTTCTCCCATGGGGCCCTCATGGTGAAGCTCTCCTTAGGGCTGTCCTTCAAGGAAAGTCAGGGTTGGTTACTCTAGTCTTGACAGGGGATGTTACCCTTGGAATCTCTAATGCAGGATAAGTATTCTGAGGGGAGTCAAGGGTCAGAAGCCTAGGGAGCAAGGTCAGGATATAATCACCCCCACAGCGGGATTGGGTGTGTGTGGAAACCTGAAGAATTTTGGTTCCCCCCCTCGTTTTGGGAGTTTGTGTGGTGTAATGAACCTAGACAAGGGGCTGTGATCTGTTCTGCCTGTTATTTGCTAGATTTGAATGCTACGTTCTTTTCACTTTCTAGGCCCCAGTTACCTTTCCTTCTTCCTTCCTTTCTCTCTTTCTCTTCCTCTTCCTTTCTTTCTTTTTTTTGTCTTTCGAGACAGGGTTTCTCTGTGCAACGGTCCTGGATGTCCTGGAACTCACTTTGTAGACCAGGCTGGCCTCAATCTAATTCACAGAGATCCACCTGCCTCTGCCTCCCAAGTGCTGGGATTAAAGGCATGCGCCACCACGCCCAGCTTCAGCTACCTTTCTAGGATGATGATATTCTTTGAGTTTGGAACTTGAAAGCTCTGGACATAGTTCTGCCATTAGAGGCAGACTTGAGATGAGCTATCCAGGGTGGACTTGAGGACAGTCCTCCTCCTGCCTTGCATCTGGTCTTGGGGGAGCTGAAGGGAAGTTGGCAGACTAGGTTGGGGGACAGGCATTGCTGACCTCTGAAGCCCACAGCACAGGGGTAGGCCCAAAGTGCCAAGTCACTGACTACTAACTCAGCAATCTGGCCCAAGTCCCTCATTCCCTTTGGCTCTAGACCTTCTGAGAATCAAGAGCTTCTCTTCCTCAACTGCCTGGGGCTGTGGGCTGAGGATATCTATGTGGATGGAAACAGGAGCGGCTGAACTTGGCTGGAGCCCCAGCTCTCGGGGGCCTGCCCTGCTCTCAGGGGCCTGCCCGGCTCTCAGAGGGGCCATGTGAAGGATGTTTACAGTCCAGTCCGTGAGTTCTTCGTCTCTGGTCTCTTGCCCTCAGCCGGTGCTGGCTGACCGGCTGCTTTGCACAACACACCTGCCTTTCCTCCTCACCCCGGATGACTCCTCTTCTGATTGGACTCGCAGTCCTGAGCCTGAGCCCTGGCTGGGGCTGCAGCTCCTCCCACTCACTCCTCTGTATTTGTTCTCCAGCTTCGCTGTGTTTCTCACTACCTAATTTCAATGACTGTGAAAAGAAATTATGTCTGAGCCATGGCCGGCTCTGGCTGGCCCCCAACCCACCCTCCCTCTACTGTTTGGATAGCCATCCCTCTCCTGTGTGACTGCTGTCTGCTGCTGAGAGACTGCCACTGGATTTAGGATGGAAGGCTGCCATCTCCCTAGCACATCAAGAGACATGAGCACATGGCCACTGTGACAGAGGCCAGGACTGTGAGGGCCTAGTGAGGGCCCAGCGCCTCTCCAGCCTCCTCTTCCACATGTCTTCTCTGAGTCCTTTGTGCTCAGGGGGCAGGCTCCTTCCTTCTGATGTATTTATTTTGGGTCTTTTTACTCATTTCCCTGTCCCATTCACACATGACCCTTAAGGCCCTTTTCCGCTCTCTTGCTTTCTAGGGTATCTGTAGATAGGGATCAGACTTGAGATGTCCCCAAGGTGTCATGACCAGGACAGTACACTGTCCTGAGGCTTGGACCAGAAGAACGGAGCATGGAAAAGAAGCCTGGGCTCAGAATTTAGCTCTGCCTGCCCCTAGCAGTTGAGCCTGGAAGGGGAGGGCTTATTACCTGTGTTCCGAATGGTACCTGTTTCTAAAAAGGAGTTAATTTCTTTGTGATGCTGAGGAGTAAGGAAGCCCAGGGCCTCAAGCACGCTTGGCGATGCTAGCGAAGCGTCCTGGGCTGCATCTACATCGCAGAGTCTTAATCTAAAGACTGCGCTCTCTCTAGAGACTTGCACCCACCCTTTAAAAATGTCTTTGAGTGGTGTCTCCCTATGTTCCCAAGGCTGTCCTAGAATCTTGGGGCTCAGGTGGCCCTCTTACTTCAGCCTCCCTAGGAAACAGGTGTGCACTGCTTTGTCCAATCAAGGCTTTTCCTGTCCAACATGCTGGGAACCAGGCCCGGGTGTGTGGGGAGCAGAGCTGGGAACTCGAGCCCAGAAGAAACAGAGAAGCGGCACCTCTCTAGCATTTATCACATTTTCCCCCCTCTTTTTAAAAATAAAACCAGACTCTGTTCTGAAAATAAAAAACTGGAGACTTGTGACACGTTTCCTGTGTGGTGTAAGACCATTCCTGTCCTGGTTTCCTCCCTGAACTCTTAAATGTCACTCTGAGACTTGTCATCGTTTTGTAGGTTGGTGTCGCTGTGACAGGCACACCTTCACAAGTATTTGGTGTGATGTGGGGAGGCGGTGCACTGAGGCCTGGGCCTGGGAATGTCTGACTGGGCTTTCTGTTCACAGAGGAATTTCCCAGTTGTGCTGGCTTGCTTTCACACTGGGAGTAGCTTACCAGGGTGGAAGGCAGGAGAGGTGAACCTCCTTGTTCGAGACAGGTTCTTACTCTACTACTCAGGATGGTTTCAAACACCTAAGTTCGAGGGATCCTCCTGCCTCAGTCCTCAAAGTGACTGGGACTACAGGGATGTGCCCAGAGAGAAACCAGCTTTAACCACTCTCTCCTATTATGTGGTGCTTTCGTCAACTAGACGCACAATTTTGGTGTAAGTAAAGTCATTGTTTAAATAACAAACAGACAGGAAGGAGACTACTAAGTTTCAGGCAGACCATTGGGTTTTCAGCCAAAGAAACTTGTTGGGCTGGAGAGGTGGCTCCGTGGTCAAGAGTCTCACATGGGCCACTGGCAGCTCTTTATAGCTCCAGCCCGAGGTGATCGCGTACTCTTTCTGCCCTCCTTCGGCATTGCGCTCAAGTGCACAAGCATATGCTGATACACAAACCCATAATTAAAAGTAAAAATAGAAGCTCAGAAAAATTAAGTCCTAATAATTTTTCTTAGTGTTGAGGCAGCCAGTATTAGAGATCACACCATGTTGTCACCAGCAGGACTCTGGAGGCAAATGAGAGCACGGATCAGCAAGGAGCCCATGCTTGACCCCTTCCCTCTTCTTAGCTGTGGCCGTGAGCCATCCCATTCCTTCCTGGAGCTAGCTCCCGTCTCTTTTTTCTTTTCTTTCTTTCCTTCCTTCCTTCTTTCCTTTTTTCGGTTTTTTTTGAGACAGGATTTCTCTGTAGCTTTGGAACCTGTCCTGGAACTAGCTCTTATAGACCAGGCTGGCCTCGAACTCACAGAGATCCCATCCCCTGCCTCTGCCCGCTGAGTGCTGGGATTAAAGGCATGCGCCACCACCACCCGGCTGTATTTCATCTTTTCTAAAGCAGCAGTTAGAAGAGGGAGATGGCGGTACAGGCCTGCATTCCTAGCACTGAGGTAAGGCAAAAGGGCAAGTATTCAAGACCAGTCCGGAGCAAGATGCTGTATCAAAACAGGCTGGAGAGGAGATTCAAAGTTAGCAGCACTGGCTGCTCTTCCAGAAGATCCATGTTTGATTCCCAGCACTACAGGGCTCCTAACCAACTATCAAGAGACAGCTCTAGTCCCAGGGGATCTGATGCCCTCTTCTGGCCTCCTTGAGCACTAGGCACACATGTGGTATACAGACATCAAATAAATAAGTTTACACACACACACACACACACACACACACACCAAACAAAAAAAAAAAAAAACAGGGGCCATGGCAGCCACCTTGAAGGAACATGTTAAGATTGAAATGAGAACAGCACTGTGGTGGCACACACCTTTGATCCCAGCATTCAGGAGGCAGAGGCAAGAGGATCTCTGTGAGTTCAAGGCCAGCCTGGTCTAGAGAGTAAATACCAAGACAGCTGGGGCTACACAAAGGAAACCCTGTTCAAAAAAAAAGTCACATACACAAAGCAACACCCAAAGAATGGAATGAGGCAGACTAGCAAGGTAGTTTTGAGGGCAAAGGCATTCGTCACTAATCCAGGCAACCTGAGCTCACGTCCCTGGACTCGTGATGGAAAGACAGCTGTCCCACAGGTGTCCTCTGACCCCCGCAGGTATACATGGCACTTGCACAAGCTCCCTCCCCACAAAATAAATACACAAGTAAATAAAACTAATAACATTTTAAAAAGAATTAAACGAGCTGACCTATACCAAAATGATCCTTTTCTTGAGCCTGTGCTAAATGTCACAGGCCAAGATGTATGCAGAAGATATTTACAGGCCTTGAGGCCCAGTGTCATGGCTTCCTAAGTCTGGCCAGGCCTGTTACACATTTTTAGACATATCTTCCAGGCGAGCCAGCGGTGCCCGTTGGGTTTGGCCAGCTGGAGCTCCTCAGAGACACTTGGGGAAGCCGGAGGAGGGCTCCGGAAGACAGGTTCAGTGTGGGGATAGGGAGGCAACCACAAGTTAAACCATGCTGCAGAGCTGGTGCCAACAAAGGCGACAACATCACACTCTGGAGTGCCAGGCTTGGCGCACACCAGCTCCTTACCCCGGTGTGGTCACCTATAAGGTGGCGTCAGCTCCTTTTCCTGAAGCACTGGAAGATAAGTAGTTGTGAAGGCTACCTGCAGGCAGGAGGAAGCCACTTTAAACCTGGGTCTATCACCTCTCAGACCTTCACTCCACAGAAGCCTTCAGATGCCGGCTGCTCAGTGGGGTCAACTTTCCCTGTGGCAAAGATCAATTGTAGCTGAAAACAAAACTGATTTTTGCTTTCTGAGCAGGTCTCATGGAAGACAAGAATAAGGCCAACAAACAGGGCACTGTGCCAAGTTATGTGTGGTCACACCCTCCTCAGGCCAAGGTTATGCCACCGTCCTCTCCAGTCTGAGATGAAGAATCTGGATGCCAGCTCCTACTTAGGTATCCATAACCCAAGTGTGATTCTCTGGGAAATGTATCCAGGTGAGGAGTGGACAGGGCAGGGGGACAAGACCTCTACTCATTTGTAAACAACGAAACAGATGTCAAGTTCCACTAACAGACAAAGGCTGGCTCCAGAGGGTGACCAATATAGACAGGCTGGAGTGGAGACCAGGAGTCAGGAAAGACCACAATGTGGAGAGCAAGGGCAAGAGCAGGAACAAGGAGGTGGCCCTGGGAGCAACTGGGGTATGAGGTGAAGCAGCAAGTCGGAGTGTACTACTCTGCCAGCTCCTCCCACAGGCTTGAGGAAGCACCGATGTGTTACAGTCTTCATAACAATCTTCCGTAACTAGCGTGCTGTCCTATGGCTGCTTTCCCACAATGACATATCACTGTCAGTGTGAGCTGCTGGTGGACAGAGGTGGCTTTGATAATTTCAGAAGGCAAACACTAGAGGGAGAGCGCAGTAAACGGCAGGAAAGGAGGCTGAACAAGGCCTCAGGATTCACAAGCTGCTCCGCCCTAGAATCAGGTCAGAGGCACAGGCTGAGAGCTGGACTGGCTGGGAGAGGCGGCAGTGTGGTGGGGCGCTGCCGAGGGGCCCAGGGTGGTTAATGTGTTTTCAGCACTTCCTGGGTGGGGAGACCTCAGTGTTGCTTGTGTGAACTTCACCCGCCCCTTACAGACCATTCTGAGGAAGGAGCTACTGCTGTGCCCATTTCAGAGATGGTAACCTGAAGCCTTGGAGAGATGTCATAGCCAAAGCTGTTCAGCTGGTGAGCAGTGGGGCCGGGACACTCCCTGTGAGACGTGAGACTCAAGCCCTGACCTACAGTGCGGGTCCTGCATTGACTGCACCAGGGAGCGCTGGAGCTGTTGCTCCCTTGCATTGGCTAGAGCCCATGGTGTCGGCAGCCCTTGGTGAGCCATTTTCTCAAGAAGTGCCAGAGTAGGGCAAACCCTGCTCTACTGCTTACTTAGAATGGGAGCCTCCCATTCACAGATGCCAGCGGGAATGCATGGTGCAGGGACTGAGCACTGGGCCTCCCAAAGCATTGCCAGAAACTAGATCTGGACTGAAACACTTTATCAAGTGATGCCCAGGTCACCGTCTAATTGTCCCTTATTCCTTGTTTATTGCCCCCCCCCCACACCTCCTTTCTTGATTAGGCTCAGGTAGGAAGAGGTCAGAGCCACCTCCGCAGTCAGGAGCTTGCCTGAGGATGCACTGAAGTTGGTTTGGGGTACATGCCCCATGTGTGTTCTGGTCACGTGCTCACTGATGTTGTCTACTCAGCAAGCCTCCTCTGCTACTTTCTAGGAGCTGACCAAAGAGTTAAGAAAGCAGAACATGGGGGCAGTGGCGTCTATCAGTGGGGTGCTCTTCTTGCAAATGAAATCTTAAAAAGACTTTTGTACATGAGTGTTTTGGCTGTATGTACGTGCACCATGCACATGCCTGGTGCCTGAAGAGGCCAAAAGGGGGCAGTGGATCCCCTGGAACTGGAGTTGCAGGTAATTGTGAGCTGCCGTGTGGGTGCGTGGTACTTGGTCCTCTGCAAGAGCAGTGCGTGCTTGTCAGCCACCTCCAACCCCAAGGACACGTGTGCTAGGAAAGTACCCTATCCCTGAGTCATACTTAGTCCCCCCAAAGGGTTCCATTTATTCCTGTTAATTGACGTGTGTGTCACGTGTTGTATGTGCCATGAAATTCGTGCCGAGATCATGTTCTCTCCTTCCAGGTGGGCCCCAGGGATTGAATTCAGGACAGTAAGCTTGCTGGCAAATACCTTTACCTGTAGAGCCATCTTTTTTCATTTTTCCTGTTTTGAGACAGGGTCTAAATATAACCAGCGCCAACTTGGAAGTCCTCCTGTCTCAGCCTCTCAAATGGGCCAGGCCAAAGCGGGAGTTTCACTAGGCATGGCTCCTCAAGCATGAAGGAATGATTTTAATGTTCTTGATGATTCTGGCATTTTTCTGTCAGCAGACATTGGTTTATAGAATTCCTAACATTCAGGATGAGCAAAGACCTCCAAGGAACGATGGGGTGGGAAGAACATGAAACAGTCACGAGACCAGGAGAATTCTGATCTCATGACATGGAAGCTTTGGAACAGACACGTCTGGAGAGTGAGAGAAAGCAGGGCTGGTGCTGCCAGGGAGGCTGGGTGGTACTGCAGAGTCCCCAGTCTCTTCTGAGGGGACAGAAGTGTTCTAAAGGTGATTCTACTGACGGCTGCTCAACTCTGAAAATACCAACCACTCAATAGAGGGCCAATTGTAAACTATCTGATGTGTGAACGTCTCAACAAAGATATTAGGGGGAAAA